ACATTCCCGAGAGACATTAAAGAAGACACAAGTAGATGGAAAGACATCCTGTGTTCATGGATTGGAAGACTTAACATTGTTAAGATGTCAACACTATACAAAGCTACACATTCAATGTAATCCTTATCAAAATCTCAATGATGTTTTTTGCAGAAATAGAAAAATCCATTCTAAAATTCATGTGGAGTCTTAAGGACCCTGAATAGCCAAAACAATCTTGAAAAAGAAGAACAAAGTTGAACAATTCACTTTTCTTGATTTCAAAACTCACTTCAAAGCTTCAGTAATCAAAACAATGTGGTACTGACATAAAGGTTGACATACAGACCAATAGAATAGAGGGCCCAGAAATAAACCCTCACATATATGGTCAAATGATTTTCAACAAAAGTGCCAAGATAATTCAATGGGGAATGGACAGTCTTTCCAACCAATGGTGCTGGAAAACTGGATATCCACATGCGAAAGAATGAGGTTGGGCCCTTACACCATATGCAAATATTAACTCGAAATGGATCAAAGGCCTAAATGTAAAAGCTAAAACTATAAAACTTTTTAAAGAAAACATAGGGGAATATCCTCATGTCATTGCATTTCGCAGTGATTTCTTGCATATGACACCAAAAGCACAGGGAACAAAAGAAAAAAATAGATAAAATTTAACTTCATCAAAGTTAAAAAAATTTTAAAAGTATGCTTCAAAGGATACTATCAGCAGAGTAAAGAGGCAATCCACACAATGAGAGAAAATATTTGCAAGTCATATATCTTATGAAGGATTAATAGCCAGGATATAATAAAGAACTCCTAAAACTCAACAACAAAAAAACAAATAACCCAATTCAAAAATGGGCAAAGGACTTAAATAGATATTTCTCCAAAGAAGATACACAAATGGCTGATAAGCACATGAAAAGATGCTCAACATCACTAATCATTAGGGAACACGAATGAAATCAAAGCAATGAGACATCACTTTACACCCATTAGGATGGCTATTATCAAAACCAGAAAATAGCAAGTGTTGATGAGATTGTAGAGAAATTGGAACCCTTGTACATTGCTGGTGAGAATGTGAAATGGTGCAGCCACTGTAGAAAACAGTAAGGCACTTCCTCAAAAAATTAAAAATAGTATTACCATGTGATCCAGCAATTCCACTTCTGGGTATTTATCCAAAAGAATTGAAAGCAGGGACTCAAACAGATATCTGTACACCCATGTTCATAGAGGCATTATTCACAATAGCCTGAAGGTGGAAGCAATCCTCTGTCCATTGATGGATGAAAGATAAACAAACTGTGGTAAATACACAATGGAATATTATTCAGCCTTAAAAATGAAGGAAATTATGACATATGCTACAACATGGATGAACCTTCAAGAAGTAAGCCAGTCACAAAAGGACAAATCCTGTATGATTCCATTTATATGAAGTTCATACCTAGAATAGTGAAATTCATAGAGACAGGAAGTAGAACAGTGGTTACCAGGGGCTGGGGGAGAGGGAAAATGGAGTTGGTGTTTCAATGGATACAGTTTCAGTTTTTGCAAGATGAAAAGAATTATGGCGATTCATTGCCCAACACTGTGAATGCACTTAAGGTCACTGAACTGTACACTTTAAAATGATTAAAAGGATAATCTTCATACCATGTAGATTTTACCACAATAAAAAAAAATCTGACCATGGCACACCCCTCGCCACCTCTCTCCCCCAACTAAAGCCCCCCAGTGGCTCCTCATGGTCCTAAGGATAATATCTAAAATTCTTCCCATGGCCTACAAAGCCTGGCATTGTCTGGCTCCCAGACATCTCACCGGAGTTTTCTCTACTGTCTCCACTGTAGTTACACAAGTTCCCTAAAACTAGCACTTGCTTCAAAGACCATGCACACTGTTCTATCAGCCCAAATTCTCTTCCCCAGGCCCCCCACCTCCCTCACCCTCAGGTTTCCATGTCAGCTCCACCAGCTCTCCCACTGACGGGGAGCTCCGCGCTGCCAGGCACAAAGCAGCCAGCTGGTGTGTAGATGGTACTGTGGGGCCTGCCCCCAACAGGCCTGAGGCCAAAGCTGGAAGTTTCCTGTGGGGCATGCATACTGTCTCCTTCCCCCAGGTCCCAGAGTCCTCTCTCCACCCAGGAGAGGGTGTGGAGTGCCAGTTATCACTGCTTGGGGTTCTGTTTTGGACCCCTTAGACCTATGTGCGCACGTGTGCATGTAGGGGGTTGTCCCAGACTCCCAGTGCCCTGTCACTTATTACCCGGGCTTTGGCCCCGAGGACCCCATGGACTGGATGTTTCTCTCCTCGCCAGGCAGGGATGGTCAGAGGCGGCCCCATGTGACTTCTGTGGACAGGGCATTGGGCCATCCCTCATTCCATGGCCCGCTCTCCTGGCTTTGGAAATTTCTGAGCACATTATTCCGGGCGGCTCCTCTCAGAGCATGACATTGAATTATGGTTTCAAACACAGAGATATTTTCCTCTGCGTGACAATCCCTTTCTTCTCCCTTCTTTCTTGACATCCATGTGGCTGGGTGTCCAAGGCTGTTGTGGGTTCCCCGCCAGCCCCCAGCAGCCTGTCCTGTAAACAAGTTATGGTCTAGGCTGTGCAAGCTGAGGCCGGGACGGCTGGGGCTTCTCAGGACTGATGGCCACCCTGGCACCCATGTCCTACTTGCCAGGCCTGCCTGGGCAGTTCCATGGACCCTGTGTAAGGGGGCCAAAGGGGCAGAGCGGGCAGGAGTGTGGGGTCACTTGGGCCTGGTTTGTGTTCCAGCCTCTTCCCAGTCTGTGACCCGGCAAACTATTTTACCTCTTTAAGCTTCCATTTCCACAGCAGCAAAATGCAAGTTCTACTAGCACTCACCCATGTCACAGGACTGCTGTCAGGGGTACAGAAGATCATGCATTTAGGTTCATACCTCATTGCAGCAGCTCCTCCTCTGGTCCCACAGCTGAGCTGGCCTCTCAGTGGGGCCAGGTCTAGACAGCCCCTGCCTCCTGTGTGGGAAGGCACACCCCAGCCTAGAAGGCCTTGGGCCCCCATGCTGAGGGTCTTGGGCAGTCCTCTCTACACCCCAGGGGCCTGGGAGCCCCAGTGATAGCATTAGGGGCTGCCAAGGCCTAGGTAACCTCCTCTGGCTTAGGTTGCCCTCTGGCTTTCTAGAGTGGGGCACAGGCAGGCACATACCTCCCTCCAGCTATCATCCACCAGGAACAGCCAGCGGCTGACCCTCCGCTCTGGGAGTCTGTCTCCCGATGACAGCCCCTAATGCTTAGCCTGGGTCTCCAGGAAAAATGGGGGAGGTGTGGTGATTTAGAATTACCCCCAATAGCTTGGCCCTCTTTGGCTGGGCGAGGAAGGTGGGGCAACGGCAGTCACACGGACACTCCAGGGACAGCTGAAGGAATAGTGTGGAGCCCCATTGTCGGGGAGGTGGGGTGCGGGCAGGGCAGAAGTCGAAGGGACAGATGGAGGGGGATTGGCATTTTTAAGGAATCCTGTGATTTTCATTTTAAAATACAAGATCTTTAAAAGTTACACTAAGCACCTCTTTGCTGTCTTGTCAAGTTCAGGTGTGTGCACTTTGGGTGCTTACCGGGAAGCAGAGCTTGGTCCCCCAGCGAAAGCGAAGCCACCCCTGGCAGCCTGCCTGTGTGACCACCAGGGCGGGAGAGGAGGGCAGAGTGGTGGGAAAGCGATGACCACCACACAGCAGGCTACATCTTCCACCTCCCGAGACCCCTCCCCTCCAGCCTGACAGCTTTCCAGGTTAGCGCTTTCAACCCCTCTCCCCCCCCCCCCGCCGGGAGCTCCTGGGTGTCCTGGTCCCCGGCCCCCCTCTCTCAGATCCCTTCATTATCTGCATAGAGCCACAGTGCACAAGTCCACGAGAATATGCAGCCCATTAGCTGATGAACGATTCTCTTCTATCTGTGGAATGAATGGGTGGCTTTATAGGATGACAGGTAATGTCTCTCTTTCCCCAGACTGGGGGCTCCTCTATAAGGGAGGGGCTGTCCGCTTGGCCACTGCTCGTGTTTCCAGCCGTGGACAGGCCGGTGGTGGCATTGCAGACAGCGCCGTCTTTAGGTCTGTGGGTCCGTTAAGTGAAATGTGCTCCACCTGCTGGAGCGAGTCAGCCTTGGCGGAGGGAAGTGTGGGAGAGCAGGACTCTTCCGTTCTCCAGGTTAAGGGGGCTGCCTTTGGAAAAGACACAAAAAAGGCTTCCAGCTGCCTTGACCCTGGGCAGTCTCAGCATGGTGAGACTCAGGTTACCTGATACTGAGCCAAGGGTTTATAAGTATTGTCTTTCTCATTCTCACAATGGACCTATGAAGTAGGTGTGACAGTTATTCCTGTTACAGAGGAGGAAACAGGCACTGAGGGGTTAGGAGAGAGACCCAAGGTCACACAAGTAGGGAGCCATGATGCCATGGCCACACTCGCCTCGCAGTGCCAAAGACATTTTAAGATGCAGAACACAAAAGGAGCAGGATTTGAATGTGGGTCAGCACAGCAGGTGTGGCCCGGGAAACCTGGACTTGCTCACTTGACACATGGTGTTCTCGGGGAGTCAGAAGACATAGGTTCCAGTCCCAGCTTGGCCATTTTGTGTTTTACCAGTGGTTTTCCCTTTCCTGAACCTCAGTCTCATTTATATAATGGGACCCTGTGGGCAACCACTTCACAGGGTCACAGTGCTGGAAGGGAAGATGGATGCTTTGGGCCAATAAGAGAGGTAAAGTGCTGGTGAAGTGAACACCGAGGACTCCAGGCCCAAGGGCTGGAAACTGAAGTGAAAGTAAGTTCAACGAAGACTGAGTTTCAGACCCCATGTGCTGCTGGGGTATCTGAGGGCCAGACCATCCTCAGGGCTCCCTGCTGAGCTGCTACCCGGTGCATTCTGGGTATGAAGGAACATACAGCCCCGAGGAACAGAAACCTGCCCCATGAACACCCAGGCCAGCACACAGTCCCCATCCATACAGGCTTATGTTTCTTTGGTTTTATTATTACAAACACACCATGGCTCTGCTGCACCCGGGCCATCCTGGGCTCTGCACGCTCTACTTACCCTCTCTCATCTACCTGGACAGGGCCACACAGAAGTGTCCAAGCCTTATGGAGGCTTAAGACACCTTTGACAGAGCAGTTCCACTCATAGCTTATAATGACACCATTTCTCCAGCTGTGAAAGAGCTTTACGAAAACCGTGCCAGGACGCCCCATGATGCCGGACTGCTTGATTCATGTTTTGGGAGCTCCACCAACTTCGGCTCCCTTTCCCGGAGCTCTTGGCACAGGCAGGAAATTCCGTGTTTGGGAGAGGTCCTTTCTGGAAGTGAATGTCGGGCAGTGACATCCAGGTCTCTGCATGTAGTGGGTTTACAGCCACGTTTAGGGGGACCCAAAATTCAAAGCACATCTCTCTCCCTCCTCCCCCAACCTGCCCAAGGCTCAGATCTCATTGTGGTGCAGCCCATGTATGGTGAAGCGTTATATTTGGTTTCAAAAACATTCAGTCTCTTTGGCAAACGGAGAGAAACTGGCGAGGAGCTGCAGAAGTGCATCTCTCCTACGGTTCTTCGCACTAATGCTTCATCCTCTCTAATAACCGCTGGTAGACAGGGGCTGGAAGAGAGAAGTTGGAAAAGGTGAAAAAGATGCAGACGTTCCCACGTCTGTCTAGGGCGCGGCCAGGTTCACGAGCACGGGGCCCACGCGGACTCCTCCTGCTATACTCGCCTGCACACAACCGGGGCTTTGTGTTTTGTGCTTTGTGAAACCTCCTGTCTTATTCAGTGAGGTTCTGAACTGAGATTTTCTACATCCACAAGCTTGGAACCATGTCCTTACCAATGGGCCCCTGCCAACCCCCTGTGCAATATTCCCAGGCTCCCAAAGCCAAACGCTCACATCAACCCGAAAAGGTTGGTACTCTCATTGTTTCTGTGTTATAGAGAAGGACACTGGAGGCTCTGCATCTGACCCCAAAGGCCAGGCTTGCTTTATTACACCAGGATGTTTTTATCTATATCTGGCTGATGGTAGGTATGGCCTGCTTGGGGTAAGGCCCAAACATGTCTATGGGGACTTCAAATGCAGACCAGACTTACCTAGTTTCACAGAGGTCTGTGTAGCCTGAAAGAAAATACAAGGTGTCAGGTTTTTCTAGTAAAAGTTACACCTGCACCTGCTCATGGCAGTGGCTTCTCCCATCGCCACCCCTACTCAGAACAAATGTTGGGGATGAGGAAGAGGAAGGGGGACGTGGAACTGCTGGGCCCTGGAGAGACCCTCAGTTGGCCTCAGCAGCCCTAAGTGATGTGCAAACCCCTACCAAGTAGACTCTGAGGTGAACATTCCTGGGAGACCCCAAAGCTAGGCTTCCACTGAGACCACAGCCTAGAGCTTGGGGACCTGGGACTGCACAGGGGGTGGCTCTCAGGAGTAGGAGCTCAGGGCCAAGAACCCTTGCTGAGGGGCACTAAGGGGACCCCTCTGTCTAAACATAAAGTGATGTCTTCCAGCGTCAGGCCTCTGGGTTAAGGACTACCTCCGGCTGCCTCCTCTCTTGAAATGAAAACCTTCTGTTAGGTGCCCCATATTCCCAAGGGGCTCTACCTGACCATAGCAGCAAAGGAACCTGTGTGGGGCTCCTGAACCCCGGGCATGATGGGGAGCAGGAAAAGCAGCACAGAAAGAGCCGGACGTTCTGAGAAGGAGGTGGGGCTGAAGCAAGGAAGGGAGGTTCCACACACACAGCTGGCGCTTCATCCAGAACCCCCGCCACTGCCCATGGAGCCCCAGCATCTCCCAAGAGGGGCCGTGTCATGGGACACACCAGAGCAACTTAAAAGCCTCGGCTCAGAGCAGGCAGGGCCACCATAAGGCGGACACAGGACAGGCTGCCCTCCTTGGACGGTATCCTCTGGAACAGCATCTGGTCTCACCAGCAGTGGCTTCCCCACGAACTGAGGCTCACAGGCCTCGGTTTGAAAGCCTGAGCTTTTGCCCACAAAGGAAGCAGGTGCTGCTTGGGTTCTTTTCCCTGCACCCCACACAGGCCAGGGCTAAGGGTGCCCCAATGGGAGTGAGGAGGAATTTCAAGAGAGCCTTGGGGGAGCGGCCAAGGAAGACAGGGGTCTGGAGAGCCCCCTCCGTGGGCCCAAGAAGAGGACCTAAGGCTGCTCAGGCCAGAGGTGAGCCCAGCAGGCATCTTACCCTGGAAAATGCAGATGCCTGTTTGAAGATTTCAAGTGCAGAATCTGCAAGTTCATCCCCTCGTTCCTGAGGTCTGTGGGCTGGAGATGAAAAGAAAAGGCAGCTTTGATGAACTGTCAGCATGTCATTCATCACAGCCATGACTGAGGGGCACTGTTGGGCTCTCTGGCTCACATTTTCCAATACTTTTTTCCTTTACAACTTCTGTAAGTCAGAGCAGAATTTGGCCCATGGAGAAAGAGCGCGCGCAAAGAAAGGTGAATGCACAAGTGAGGAGAGAGGCTGGACTCAAGTTCAATTTTGCTGGAGGTAAAGAGAGCTCCCGCGAGGCACGATGCTATAAGAGGGGTGCTCTGACCATGTTCACAGCACCCACATGTGACATACAGCTGAGCTGTGTCTGAGTGGGGCTAAGACGGCCAGGCCGTTCAGCTAAGAGAGACCTGGCCTCGTGTTCCTCGGTATAGCGCCTCTGAAACAACAGTTCCTCATTCACTTTCCATCAGCCGCTGTGATGCCGTCCATGGAGGCTCAGTTTGCATGTCGCACCTTATTCTTCTCTTTGCTTTGAAGAGTTTTTCTATCGAACACCAACTGCTGTGTGTAGAGAGGAGCCAGCTGCAGAGCGAGTGGGATACTTCAGGGCCTTACCTGGAGGCTGCAGGACACTGGGGATGGCATAGACCACGCCATTTGTGGCCATGATGTCAGCTTCATCGACAGGCTCCTTATTGACACAGACTGCGTTGTTTTTCTGGGAGAGAAAGAGATAACGGCTGTTGAACGTAGAGCAGTTACCTCATTCATTCGGCCAATGTTTACTGAGCCCTTTGGGCTGCAGACCCTGTGTTACGTTGGAGGTACTCTGACGGAAGGAGCAGTCCCTGCCCGTTATGGACTTGTAGTCTGCTGGGTTCATTCTCATCCCTTGTGCGGACTCAGCACATTGTAATTCACAAAATGCTCTTTGGCGTTACTCACTGGGTCCTCACAGCAGTGCCTGGTGAGAGGGCAGGGGTTACCGCCCACCTAATAGAAGAGGAAACTGAGGCTCAAGAGAGGCCAAGTGCCTCCTTTCAACTAAGTATGTGGGACAGACGGGGACAGAAGCCAGACCTCCGGCTCTGGGTAAAGGGCTCTTTCCACTTGTCCTACTTTATGATCTTCTCATAGGAAGCGCACCCGGAGAAAAATCTATCTTAGGCCTTCCTCAATGACCACATATCAAACCCAAGGGGGAAGGAGGAACTGAAGCCTCTGACAGATAGGACCCCATACCCTAATCTATTGTAAGAGCTGGGAGAGTCTCGGGTAACTTGCACAAGTCAATCAAGTCATCGCATCCCTGCCTCCCTACATGCCTTCCCATGCTCCGGAGAGAAACTGATGAACAAAGGGATGGCTGATGGTCTGGAGAGAGCAGGGGGCAGAAGCAAAGCCAGCCGCACATGGAAGAATGGTCCCTCCACAGAGGTCAGCAGCCTTGCTGGTACGGCCTGGGGCGCCACAGGCAGCTTTGCAGAGCTGAGCTGGCTACCTGAGCTCTCTCTTCCAGGTAGGGGCCCTCTGAGGCAGCTCCAAAATGGACTGCATGTCATCCACGTGTGGAGTAAGGGGAGGACCAAGCACTGGAAGAAAAGCCCCTTGGGATGGTCTGGCTCATGGTGCAGCTCAGTGAGCCCCGGATTTGTGTGTGTGTGTGTGTGTGGGTGGGCGGGAAAGGGGATTGGGAATTGATCTCTCAAGACGTATAAGTAACCGCCTACGAGCTCCTTAAGGGAAGGAAGATGTAATAGCCTGACCCAGATGCCAGTTAGGTGCTTTATTCCACTGCAAATCCGTAAACTCTTATTCATGTTTAACCACAATCTCACTTGATTTTCCTGAAGACCATTTTCTATTTTCTTTCTTTCTTTGGACAGAATGTACTCAGAGGCTCAAGATGTATCCTAAAGATGGTGTGTGTGTCTAATGCCATCCCAGGGGTGAGATGAGCCCGGGAACCCTGGTGGCAGGGTGCACACAGACAGCCTTTGAATTTTCAGACACACTCACCGAGCTGACTTCCAGCTTGTCGCCCTGGAGAGACTTCAGCCGCACGAGGGCCCCGATGCCTCCGCTCACCAGGATCTCATCGCCAATGTGGTATTTCAGGAGGTTGGCAAGCTCCTTGGCATTGCCTGCGGGTTTGTGGGAAAGAAAGCAGAGTTCATCCCCACGCTGGTAACTGGCCTGGTCCAGGAAGGCCCCGAGGAGAAGATGCAAGTGGTCATCCCTGAGAGGGAGACCTCCCTGCCCAGCTGATAAACACTCACGGAGCACCCACTGTGTGCTCAGCCCTCTGTCCCACCATCTGCATAATGATCAGGAGAAGGAGGCACATGTGCATGGCCATGAAACGCCCTCATAGTCAGTGGGCGGCTGGGTGAAGCCCATGCCCCTCTGTGATGCTGACAAGGAGTTAATCCATACTCCGCTGTGAGCATGACTCATGTTTCCATGAGCTAAATATTTGCTTGGAAAGCCAGGGACCTTTCCAGCGCCGGCATCTGGGCCATTTCATTATCAGTGTGGCTCCCAATGGCTATAACACAGTGATGAAATATTTACACATTCTGCTCTCAAATGCATATTCTGAGACGGCTGTTTCCTGAAGGGAGAACTTAAAAGAGTCAACAGCTGCAATCTGAAGGAGCTATGGAGCCGATGAGGTCAGGGCCGAGGAGGGATTCCCGCCACAGCATCCCTCCTCATCACGTCTCAGCATTCCTTCCAGCCCACGTCAGCTTCTCCACCAACGGGGGAAAGCATCCGATTGCTCATAAAGGTGCACAGGCATTTCCCAAATGAAGTGTGGGAGGCATTTCTCCAAGCAGCCAGCTGCCCTCTCCTCTCTGTCAAGGCTGCCCCTGGTAGTCACATTACCAGCCAAATGGCTGAATTTCCCCAGGGCTTATGGATGTCTGTTTCCAGCATCCTGAAACTGAGAACGGAGGAAGTTTGAAAACATTTTGGAGAGTTCACTTGGTTATTGACAAATCCACATGAGTACTTTGGGAATGGAGCCACCAGGTACCAAGTGGCTTCCAAACATCCACAACCTGGAGCTGTTAAGAGTTCCCCTCCCACAGAAACGCTGCCTGGGGGTGCTGAGCCAAGCCCGTCCGGCCCCTGGCATGCCATGGCCTCCCTCTTTGAAGGTCTCTAATGCCTGGAATGACCTCGAACACCTGGCCGGCCCTCCGTCCCCCAGCAGGGCTGGGGTCCAATCCTGCCTGCGAGCCTGGGGGCAGGCGTGTTTGGCCAGGTTTGCCCACTTCCCTCCTTGGTTCCCACAGAGCTGAAAATGAAACAGAAGCCGAGCCGGCCCAGGCCACCTGGGGAATATTTCGTTCCTCCTGGACAGAGAGAGGGTGGAAAGTTTACGTTCAGAATGAACTTCTCCCCTCTTCTCTGGAACATACGTCAGCATCACAGACATAGGCATTCTCTTAGCAATAAAGAAAATTAAACAGGACACAAGTTCGGCTCACAGCTGCCTGCAACCTGAGCTTTCTATTCTGTCCCAGAGCGGGAAGGGAGGTGTTGCATATGCAGACCCCAAGGTTTGGCCAAGGTCCTTCTGTGATGGGTGGAGGTGCCTCTCACAGACATTCATCAGAACTCAACATCCCAGCCCATCCCACCTCCACACCGGCATAGTCATTACTGATGGAGATGTGTGCCCATCACTGTGGGAAACACCTCATTTAATCCTCACAATACACTAAGCAAGGTACTCTTATCATCTTCATTTTTCTAATGGAAAAACTGAGGCTCAGAGAGGTTAAGCAACTTGAGAGGGATCACTCAGCTGGTAAATGCCAGAACCGGGATTTGAACCTGCTGTCAGGTAATCCAGGAGCCCAAGCTCTTGACTACTAGATTTCCTCTCCGACATCCTCAGCTACATTTCTCAGGGCCATGGCTAGCTTCTCGGTCAAGCTTATATCCTAAGGGATACTGGATGCAGGACACTTCATCATCACTTTTCTCACGGGTCTCAGTGACTAGGCTGGTTGCTATCTACCCTGAACTCCTACCCTTCTCTGTCCTGCTTGGTGTCCGGGAAGGCTGACTGCTGTGAAATGTGTCTTCCAGGCTCCCTCGCCCTTCCTCCTGTAACCAGCTGACAGGAGACCTGGCAGGCAGGAGGCGTGTGAGAGGAGAGGTGGCTGAGGTAGGTGGTGGCGATGGTTCTGACAGCAGGTATACGAGTATGTGGTTCTAGCTATCCTGTGCCCCTCGTCCAGCTCTCCCTGGTCCTGTCCCCCCACCTCCAC